GAAAATTCCCATTTTCTCACCTTCCCATCCTTGGTTTATATTAAAATAAATAAATTTAAGCACTATGTGTCTTTTTACATATATTTGAAGCAATCAAAAAACTTTAAAGATGTACAAACACTGTGTTTTGGCTTGCACACTTTGTTGAACTTGAACACTTAGTTACTGTTCTAAATTTCATGTTGTAAACAAGATGCCCCAAAAAAGCAAAGAAGTAATTTTTAAATTTTTTGATAATTTCATAATTCATATCCCAAAAGATGAAAATTGGTTGTAATATAGATATGTATTAATTTAGTAAATGATTTTTTTTTGGTTTTTATATAAATTTATGGAGATATTGCCCCTTTAGGTGATGAGTGACATGGAAAACAAAGTGTCACTGCTTTATAAATAAAAATACTGACTGAAAAAACTAATGATATATATAGGTATGCAAGGACATCTAAACTAAATTTGGTCAATCATATATCATTCATGTTTGGTTGAAAAGATCAGACTTTTTTATTCAATTGTTTCTGAGATATTGCCATTTTGGTGAAAGCTTGGAATTCAATCATGAATTCGCCATATTGCTTGCCACTTTAGGGGGTGGTAACATTGTAACAGCTTGCCAGTTAATGAGTTAATGGCCATCCAAAAGCAATCTTTTTCAATTTGCCACTGTAAATCAAAATTGGCTGCAGCCGGACAGCTAAGACCCTGCCACCTGGCCACTTGTCTGAGCTGTTGGAGTCCCTGCATTAATAAATATCTGTCCAATAATATAAATCTATATTTATATTATAAGCTTGTGGGTTTATACATGGGGCTAATTACAATTAAATGGAAGGCTTATTTTCGAAATGATCTGAGCGTAACAGTGAATATGGTGGGCTTATACATCGATCAGGGGGCATACATTTAAGTGGGCTTATATTCGTGGGGACTTATATTCGGAGGTTTATGGTATTTCTTTAATTAATATTCAAATTAATTGCTGTAAATGTATTTTCACGGCTGCATGTAATTTCAAAATTTTCTGGCCCATTTCAGACCCCCTTAAGAGAATGTTGATGGGGTATATCGTGAGTCATGATTCGATCACTCAATTTCGGTTATCGTCAGTCGTGAAAACACTAAAACTATCTAGACTATGCCACATTCTCGTACCCTGAGCCCATCTTACACATAATCAACAAGGCATGACAAGAGTCACTGCATGGGTACAAAAATAGGTTGCGCCGCATTTGCCGCAACGGCAGATCAAAATTTAGCCTCTGAACTGGAACAAGATGCCAAGTGTATGTGCCAATGTCATGTTCATGCGCATTAACTCTGTGTATTTTAGTGCATGTGTTATTTATTTAATACACAATATAGAAGACAGTGCATTCTGAGAGTGCATTCTTGCAGTTATTCCAGTTAGTCAGTAACTCTGGTGTCAAGCAATTCCTGACCTCTGCGAAATACCTGACCAAGCGTGACGGATCAGAAATTTTGCGCGTGCAAGCACGAAATGTACGATGCTTGCCAAATTTTAAGTTGGCCAAAACTGTTTTTTAGAGTTTAGATAAATAATTATGATGTTAATTTCTAATACTTCGTTAAATATTTCAAATGGACATCACTAAGATACAATTTACAAACATCGGATTGTGTGGTCGTGGCCGCGAAATACACGAAGTTTGCTAAATACAGCCAAGTTGGTGGAAACGGTTTTAATAAGTCCATGCATATATGATGTTGCCAATAGTATCATGAAGTGTTTCTAATATTATAGACATCACTAAATTTAAACGGCCAGTACACAAACTCATTGTTGCTGCTGCCTGCTTACTAAATAGTGAGAAGGTCAAACGCAAAACAATTTTTGGTGCTTATAATAATGCTTAGCATCACCTTTGAATCTAGAGTCTATTTTATATCACTAAGAGTGCTTTCCGATTGACTTTTTCCATTCGCAGATTTTATATATTCAAGCTTTATTACCGCTGAATGCTAACGTTCATAACCAGTGGTATAGTGTCAATTCAGTTGACGTACAATTTGAAAATTTATGTATAAATATTATCCAACAAACTGACTTTGTAAATACATGTGTTGTCTGTTGAGTTGCGAAATTTATGAGTGAAAGTCATTCATGCGCATCGTCTGGGCATGCCTGGGCAGTTCTACAATAGTCAGATATTTCGCAAGTCAGAAATTTCATGTTTACAACAGGCTTAGATAACAAGCTCCAAAAATCAGGAGTTAGCAACACAGCAAATAACTTCAAGCTTACATACATTTTTGGAGTTAGCCAGTAACTCCACAATTAATATTTCGTACAGTTAGTTTTGAATTACTCAAGTTACTCATTGACAAGTGTATATTTTGGTTTGGAGTTAGCCCTTTAAATTTTGGAGGTATAGCATCGCTCCATAACTTCCTACTTTCTACAGGCATGGTTTAATTTAATTTATGTCAAGACAAGTCCCTAATTATAGAATTCCACAGTGTGGTTTTGTTTGATTTTTTGGCTTGGTCTTTTCAACAATCTGGTCATATGGCAATGTTGTGTTCGATTACTGTAAATTTTGAATTGCTTGTCGGTCATGATCAAGCAGGACTCCACCAGTAGTGAAAACTCAAACCCTAGGTTCTTTTTTGTCCATCTGCGAGACATGGCCTGTTTTATATTACAGCGTAGCTGCAAGTTGGAGCAAGTTTTCCAACCTGGGGTGCATTGGGATAAAAACTATTTTTTCTTTTGAAATGGACATTGATTTGCTCGTAAGAATGAAATGCAACCATGGAAGCACTGTAATTTACCAAAACTTAATTTGTTACAGAGAATGCAGTTTTCTGCCAGTGTACAGTATAAATAATTTAATATAATTAAATATTTGTGTATATATATACCTGCATGAAACCTATAGTTTACACCTTCATATATACAGCATTTCAGCTTATCACGAGTGTATTACTCATCAATACAATGGAAAGAGTAAAATATATATGCTGATACTTCTATATTAATAAGATAGTTGGTAAACATTTGCAACAGAATTTCTATTATAAAGGAAACTGGTAATTGATATAAAAACAAAAATATGTCACCTTTCCCGAAGCAGAGCCGCCAGCAACGCCAATAATAAACGGTATTCTAGGCTTCGCTTCCTCTTCCATCAGAAAAGAGCACAAAATATAGTCGTCAAATGCACCAGAAGCAGCACAGATTTACAACCATATTGCCAAATTACGCCGTCGACATGTTTGTCAAACGAAAACTCACAAAATCTTCTTTCGCATTCAACCTTCAGGGGGGAGAGGGCATAATATAAAGCAAACTTGAATTTCGAAGACGTGAAATCGAGAATTATTTTCGATTTATAATAATACATAAAGAGCTAAAGAAAATTATTGAACTACAGATTTATTTAGTGACCAAACGACTTCACAACTGAATGAAATTTGAAGAATTTTTCTGAGCGCTGTGCCAAATGCTTTACTTTTTAAAATAAAAAATATATCGGCTCAAATTTGTTTCACATTTTCATCCTTCCGGCTCCCCCCGGCAAGAAACTGTTTACCAGCCTGTTCGCAGGCTCGTATTTTGATATTTCAATTTTTACAGGCAAACAGTGACTGTTCCTTGCAAACTTTCTACGTTGTTTGAGCAGTGTGACGGCTTAATTTTCGAGTTTTGAGGAAACGATATGCCTTTGTTTTCGTTTAACTGTTTACCGCAGACACGGCTTTCACAAAAGGATGTTTAAAATATTAAATTAATGTGCTAAAAATATTGGAAAATAGTCGAACCTAGTATCAATTCTGTTGCTATAGCAACTGCAAGGTGAATTAGGCACAGTATTGATTGCAGAAATTATGCCTTCTACGGTAAGTTTACGTTTGAATTCTCTCAAGTTTGCATATGAAATAGTTGTAATATTTTAATTTGTGTTTATATAGGTCACTGACAGCAAGAAACCTTGTGTGCTGCTCTGGTAAATATTCTAAAACTGCATGTTTATTACTTTGTCTATGTCGAGGCCATATGTAATGTATTCAGTATTAAAATGTTTAGTTACTGCAGATACGCTTACATTCATATACCCATTAAAGGTGTGTGTCGGATCGGATTGACCTCTTTGAATCCGATGGTTTGTCTATAAGTTCTCAATCCGAATCCGGCCTGATCCAAAGATGAAAAAAGCATCCGATCTGAAAAAATGTTTATAAAATTCGATCCGATGATAAAATTTGTAATCCGATCCCATCCGAACTTAAGTTATTATATACAGCGTGCGTTAATTATACGGTGTATGAACGTATTTTTTATGATCATAAACGATATATTGGAAATAATGAATTTCCAGCAAAAATAAGCATGCAGATACGAATCCGATAAAAAATTGCAGGGCGATATCACATAATTATGTCTTATACTAGCATTTACACGTTAACAGCAGTTTATACTTTATTAGAAGTAGCGTAGGAAAAAACAACTATATAGTCACATCCGACAACAAAAAAAAGAAATCCGAATGAATTTAACTGTCTGAATCGATCGGATTGATTGATTGATTGATTGACACCTTTATTTAAACAGGGTAGTCCAATCAGTAGTAAAAACTACTGCTGTCAACTGGAGCCCTGCTATTTAAAAAAATACAATCTTTACATGCATGCTATATGACAATTAGGTATTAAAACAATATACTATATATATATACTAGAGAATAAAACTATTTTCGCTTATTATTATATACAACACAACCGTTGTAATAAAAGGATTTCTTTGCCTGTTCAGTTCGTACTCGAGGCAAGTGCAGTTTATGACTCTGCCTAGTCACTCTACTGTGTACCGAGCTGTTAAAAGTAAAATATTTTTTAAAAAGTTGCGGACAACGGCCTTGAATACATTTATTGACTAATTTAAAAATGTTGTCGTCTCGCCTACTCTGCAGAGAAGGCCACTTCAACATGTTCATTGCTTTGTCGCTGTCAGGTATTTTGGACACAATCCTCGCAGCACGCCGTTGAAGCTTTTCCAGACTTGAGGCATTACCAACACCGCAGCGATCCCATACTGTATCACAATATTCAAGAATAGGGCGAATGAATGATACATAGACAATATTTGCACAGTGAGGTGTTAAATCATTTCTGATACGTCCTAACATGCCCAGTCTCTTCCCAGCGCTGGATAGGATATATTTGCTATGCGATTTCCACGTAATACATTCGTCGAACACGACTCCAAGGTATTTGAATTCGTACACACGCTTTATAAGACGACCATTCATGAAAATAGCAAACTCATCAAACCGAGATAACCTTGCATGAGTTCCAAATAACATAGATTCAGTTTTCGAGGTGTTAACAAATAGACCATTATCAAGTAGCCAGGTTCCGATAAGCTCGAGATCATCATTAAATTTCTGTTGTATTACTGCAACATCTGAATGTGGGTAAAATAGAATAGTATCGTCTGCGTACATTAGTATTTTACAATTACGAACAACACTTGGAAGATCATTAACGTACAAAACAAACAAGAGGGGGCCCAGTATTGAGCCCTGTGGAACACCAGACGTTAGATACTCAGCCTCCGAATATACACCCTGGTACCCAACGATTTGATTTCGAATATGCAAATAGTCAGTTGCTATAGTCAGTTGCTATACAAATGGTTAAAGGTAGCTGCTAGCTAGACCAAATGATTTCTTAAAAAACTTGTGGTTTTCATCAATTTGACGTTTAATGTAGCAAACTTGAATTATACTGTATATGGACATGCCTGGCCGCCAGGGCCCAGACCAGGGTAGATTCCATGTAGAATTTTCTGGAGATATCCAGCATGGGGTTGTGTCATTGTTGGTGCACTTAATGGGCTAAGTTTGGCAGCTTGCTAGTGCAAAACAAAACTTAATTATATAAAAGCAATAATTGATATAAATCAGTAAATCCAGCCCTCGAAAATTAGGTCGGCAATCAGCTGACCTAAATGCAGATCGACCTATCAACTTCCCAGGTCGGCAAATTTTGCTGATCTTAATTCAGCCAAAGTAAGAATTCAAATCTTTTTTGGTGCTATAGCTGTCATAGCTGTTAAAAAGTCAGCGATAAATTATAGAATTTGATTTGTGGTTTGATTAATTAAACACACTTATTAAATTTGGTGACTGTTAAAGGTTTAAAAATTGATGGGTAGTCTAATTATATATAATTTAGGTAAGATTCCAAAAATAAAAGCCGTAAATTGTGTTACTGTAGTTTGCATTTCCATGGAAAACGGCATGCTTTATATTCTGATTTCAATGATTCGTAAATACACGATTACTAGTGCTCGGCCAAGACAGGGAAACAGATTAATTTAAAAAAATGCCAAGTTGTGCACTGAACCTAGGTCAGATTTAGGTTGTGATGTTTTTGCCGACCTCAATTTTGATTAAGTTTTTGAGGGCTGTAAATCAAAATCAGTCATTCAGTCAAAGGAAATAGGATTGATTTTTGCTTTTACTGGGCACGAAAAATAATCTGGAAATAGCCTTCGTTGGCATATGTTGGCAATTGCTTTGGCATACCTCCTGCATGACAATAACATGGAATCCACTCTGGATTTTTAGACTGGGGTGGCTGCAACGTAATATTAATCTTTTTAATAAAGGCGTGATCTTGATGTTCAGCAGTTGCACGTGCTGAAAGAAAGTACAGATAAATTAAGGTGAGTTTGTGGTGGGTCTATAAGCCACTGGGTAATACAGTACAGGTATACATTACAGTGTGTGTTATTTTTAGGCTAATGAATTATTCATTAATTTCACAAAATAGGAAACAACAGCTCCTACTTCATGTTGAAAGGGCATAGCATGCAGTCCCATTTGCATCATCAATATATATATAATTATATATGTATGATGATATCATTGATATGTAACCTAGCGTCATTCCTGATGATGACTAAAGCATATTCGAAAGCTAGAACTGTATTAAAATGTTCCTTAGTTTTTGGAGTTTCCGTTGTTTTGTATTTTTTAATAATACTCGGTGCATGGTTATTGCAATTTTGCTTAATTTTTTTTAGTGAATAATTGGCCAGATTTATTATATACATGAGATGTCAAATCATCCGACGCGTGTAGACCCATTAGTGTAAACTGAAAATGGAACTGTCCAGACAAATTGAAGATTTTCACTGGCTGCATTTTCTATAGGAATTCCTATAGGCATTGAAAATTCCTATAGGAATTTATATAGGAATTGAAATTTCCTATAGGAATTCCTATAGGCATTGAAAATTTCTATAGGAATTTATATAGGAATTGAAAATGGTGAAAAAAAATTTCTATAGGAAATAAAAATTTTCCTATTGGAATTCCTATAGGATTGGAAAATGGCTATAGGAATTCCTAGAGGAAATGAAAATTCTTATACGAATTCCTATAGGATTTGAAAATTCCTATACGAATTCATATAAAATTCCTATAGGAATGGACCATTTGCATTATAGACTAAATTTTGTTCTAGACAAAAATTTCATCACAGCTTAAAAGAGCATCACAAAATTAGTAATATTCCGAAGTTTTGTTGCGAAATGTTGTAAAATGCGGATAATATAGCCATGCGAAGTTTGCAATTTTTAGTCATTTTAGATTACGAGCGCGAAACGGTTACCACTTTTCCAAAATTTTGATCTTAACTAGCCTAAACAAAAATTTCATCACAGCTTAAAAGAGCATCACAAAATTAGTAATATTCCGAAGTTTCGTTGGGAAATGTTGTAAAATGCGGATAATATAGCCATGCGAAGTTTGCCGTTTTTCAGTCATTTTGTATTACGCACGGGAAATTGACAGCCCAATCGGGTGTTGGGGCATCAATTTCCCGTTTGTAATACAAAATGACTGAAAATTGCAAATTTCGCAAGGCTATATTATCCGCATTTTACAACATTTCGCAACGAAACATTGGAATATTACTAATTTTGTGATGCTCTTCAGGGCGCGAAATAACGGCCGGTCAACGGACAATGTCCGGCCAGAATGCGGAGTTAATTGTCTGATCAAATTCTTACCTTGCCGGTCATTTTGACCGCTCACTTTCGGTAAAATGACAAACTAATCTTCATTTGAATTAATAATCAAAACAAAGTTGTCAAGTATTATAATTAAGAACCATAATATGTTGTCGAGTATTTTGCGGGAAAAGAAGTCTTCAATGTACGGCAGCTTTCCCACGCAGTACGTCACAAAGCCCATGGCCATGCTTTTGGCTTAAGAGTTAAAGGTCATGCTTTTAGCGCAGTGCAAGCTGTTTTATGGGCCTTTATGTGAAGGAGTTTTTAATTACTGATTACAGTATAAGGCTTTTTGTAATGCTAAAAAAATGGGAAAATAGTCACATTTTTAGGAGTATACTTTACTAGGCTTTGCTTTAAGCTGAATAATTTGACCGGCCAGAAATTCGGTATGTCCAAGCTAAAATTGAGTTGGCCGGTCACCTTGACCGGTGACCCTGCAGCCGTTATTTCACGCCCTGCTCTTTCAAGCTGTGATGAAATTTTTGTCTAGATCAAAATTTAGTCTGTAATGCAAATGGTCCATTCATATGAGATTTGAAAATGGTGGAAAAAAATTTCCATAGAAAATAAAAATTCCTATAGGAATTCTTATAGGATTGGAAAATTCATAGCCTATACCACTATGACCTGATACATGCATGGGTATAAGAAATTTACTAAAACGTACTAATTACTATACTATCTATAGGTTAAATTGCTGCAACAAATCATCTGCTAATTACGAGTAATAAAGCATCCGGATTTGTTTTTTTCTAATCGTACGTCTAATTGTATACAATTATACTATCTAGGATTTGCTGCAAAAATCTGCTAATTACGAGTTAGGAAGCGTCCGGATTCGGTTTTTGCTAGTATCATTACATCTAATTATATGCTTATACACATGCATAGACAGTTATCTATAAGACCTAATGTGCAATCATGCAATTCCGTGTATGCATGTAGACAATCCCATATCTTGGAAAATTAATATTTGTTTCAGTTGCTACATTGAGACAAATGATAAGACAAACTATCTTGCCCATGTTTATATGAACGGAAATAATGAGGCGATAATTATGCATATTTTATAAATAATTTCATCTTTGGTTTAATTTGAAGATTATAAAAAAAATAGTTATAATAGTCAAATCTAACTGTTTTCTTATAATCTTAATGTGACATTTCTGTACCTTCTGTAGGACTTTGGCAGAAATATTTTCTTTGACAAATCACAAGGATGAGCTAAAATCAGCCGTACTTCTTGATCTGTATTTTTATACACTTCAGTATCCTTTTAAACAGACTACGATGACGCGCATGTCATGTCATTACTTATTAGTTCTTTTTGTGCAATTATTTGAATGAGTTATTTTCGATGGCTTAATTTCTGGGTTAAAACTTCGGCCAATCTTTGGAAAGTGAAAAAAGCTTAAAAGTAATTTTGAGAAAAATATTGAATTTTGTAACTAATAAGGTAGTGTAAGTTAGTTCTGCGATAGTGAAAGTCAAATCTGAACTAGACGGCCAGTTGTTTGATGTCATTTTCTGTTACAAGCTGCCAACTAGCATTTTCATAGAGCCGGTATACTGTAATGCATTAACGAACAAAACTAGATATGTTAATGGACCAATCCCCAATTAACCAAAATTTTGATCTCAACATGTCTGCTCTTTCAAGCTGTGATGACTCTCCTCCGCAGAGGCTTTAATACATGAAGTTTCTAGTGTGGGAAAAGTGAGCGCGCAAGGAGTGATGGGAAGAGCTAAATAAAGGAAGCCTCTGTGAGTTACTGAGTTAATGCAATCAATATGGCGTCGTATATATTCGTTTGTGGCAAAGTTCGATCAACCATCGAGGGTGTTAAAATATGTTTTCGACTTTCATTTTCAGGCGTACTTGACTATCCTGGGGTGAATTCAATATCAATATCTTCTTCCGTCCATTTGCATCGAAAAACATTGAGAAATTGCAAACGAATATCAGTGTATACGAGCTTTCTAATTATAAATATTCTCTTAATTGCAACATTTCTTTATAAAAATGACTCTATTGAACTTCGATACTCAGATTATGAAGATTCATTTCAATTTCTTTCACATTTCCGTCGATTTCAAGCTTAAAAAAAGGTTAAACAGCTAGTTTGGTTCAAAAACCATACTTCGTCGCATGATCTGGCAGAGCCTCCCCAACTTTATTTCAATCTTCCCATCACACCGCGCGCGCCCACTTTTATTCAGGAAACTTCATGTAAATTATTTGTAAATACTTAAGGAGGCTCTGCGGAGGAGAGAGCTGTGATGAAATGTTTGTCTAGACTTGCTGAGTTCAAAATTTTGGTTAATTGGGGATTGGTCCATTGGCAATTGACATTTGAGAATTTTGCCTATGATGACAAAAATGCAAGATTTCAAGTTCACTTTTAACAAGAATAAACTATACCATTAGAAAGTTCGTTAAAATGTATATTACAAGACATTTGAGCGAGTAGACGAAGTATTATGATTTGGAGCTTTGACGCTCAAAAATGAAGAAAGTGCGCAAATTGATTCTCAATAGTTACTACATACTTTAAGCTACTTTGATTAACCCATAACCGACTTGAAAATTCCCACTACTTATATATACTAATTTATGCGATCTTTCTATAATGGTATGGATTGTTTTTGTGGAAAGTAAACTTGAAATTTTGCATTTTTAGTCAACATTGTATTGCATTAGGCAACATTTTAAATTCTCGAATTTTCGGCTATAAAGCCAAAATCAGAGGTGACAACATGTACAGTCTTGGTCACCAATGTGTAAACCACAGGGTGTCTAAAAAAGACGCTATGGAAATTCAACAGGCTGTCGTGCATCATAAACGTGGCTATAATTACAATTCAATTTTTACATAGGACGAAAGAGCAGTTATTTGGCTGTTCAATGATACTCATTTTAAATCGTAACGATGAGAAATGGCCACATACTCGTCAAATAATAATTGCCGGTCGAAATCACATTCTTCCACCGTTGGGAATTGTATGGAAAACGAAACATAGACAATTCCCAAGAGGGAATTAAAGTTGAATGTTAAATTATCTAAAATGAGCTCAACTCGCCAATCATCGTCTTAATCTTCGTCTTATTACATTAAACATGGTTCAAGTGATTAACCACTGAACAGGGAACATTCGTTCGTATTCAAAACGTTTTACGAAACAAATACCTTGCAGCATGCAGGCCCGCGTTGCTTTTGGATTGATTAACTTTGCATAATTATGTATTTTCAATTCCCAATGGTGGAAGAATGTGATTTCGACCGGCAATTTTTATTTGACGAGTATGTGGCCATTTCTCATCGTTATACGGTTTAAAAAAAGGTATCATATAGAAAAGCTAAATAACAGCTCTTTCGTCCTATGTAAAAATTGAATTGTTTACATGTAGCTAAGTTTATGATGCACGACAGCCTGTTGAATTTCCATAGCCTGTTGAATTTCCATTGCCTTTTTTTAGACACCCTGTATAAGAAAATGCCAGTTGGCAGCTTGTAACATCAGAGTGAACCTTTCAGAATGTTGGCCGATATTCTAAACCTCTCTATTCTAAACCCTGGGCTGTTTTAAGTTGGGTAACGCCCGTATAATGTACTCAGTGCTTCATGTGTATATATGCGTGCTTTTCTTAACGATTCCTATATTTGCTGAGAAGAAAGGTTTTAATGAAGAACAGACATCAGGATTTTTCTCCATCGTGAAAAATGTACACGAGAGAGCAGTGGGTAAGTATGAATTTGTTTCTCGATCTGCATCGAATAACTCCACAGGGGTCGAAATTACCGCTATTCCGAATATACTAAAATGCCTGACGGAATAGTAAACTTCATGATCACAGTATTCCGTTTGTGTAGTAGAAAAAATTGTGATACCAAATATCGACAAGCAAGGGTTTCCTTCTTGTATAATATATCACTTTATACCGGACTTTGAGCCAATGTAATTTATTTTAAATACTTGCATGCATATTCTAATTTTTTGTTATTCAATTATTCAGTTCACTTTAAAAGTCTCAAGGATGATTTCACGAAAATCAGAACATTAGCGCGGGCCCTGCATGAACAGACTCTCAGAAACCGTACATTAAGGAATAGTGGATTTTCGGACGGAATAGTAAATATAAAAGTCTACTATTGCAGCTGTATAGTACAAAAAATTTAAATTTCGACCCCTGCTCCAAATATGTAATTTGTTTGTCATGGGCAGTGGCGAAGCTAACCATGGCAACTGGTCATGCTATGGTAATAAACTCGCATCTAAATAGGTTAACCCTTTAACTGGCAATGCGTCCAAATCACTCAGATGTGTCCTTTATTATTTTTCTCAGCTGGAGAGTTCTGCCACTCAGTGGGTTAAACACAATACATCTCTAAGTGTTTGAATAATGCAAATCATTAAGAATTTGCAAAGCATTGGCCTGTTGCTATGGCTGGCCTCGCCACTGGTTATGGGAAATCTTAGGAAATATAAGGAAATATATTGTGTTGTTCTAGGAAAAAAGCTCTTTTTGATAATTTCAATTTCCATGCACTGTCAAAATTGCCGTAGTGTCCTATGACATCATTTGATGTGTTGCAAAGTAGCTCGCCATGGTTCACTGCTGTTGAAATTCATCTAATGACATCAATGAAATTCATCTAATGACATCAAATTTTATTTTATTTATTTGGTTTGTGTAAAACACCATGCCGGATCGTGGAATAGAATTGAAACACTGCGCGTCCTCTAAGACAAAGGTTAAGTCGTCACGAAAATATTTCGTGCACTTAAATTGGATAAGACTCGCTACCAATCCCCGTTGACTCGATAGCTCAATGGGTAGAGCGGCGGTCTAGATACCCGAAAATGCGAGTTCAAACTCTCGCTCGAGCCAACGAATTTTTCGTTGGTCGATTGCAGTGTCAGAATAATATGAAACTGGTTTTTCGTATCTCTGAGGATGGTTCTGAAATAGTACATTTACTGTAGTACAAACGTTAGTATAGTTTCAATAAAACTTTATTTCTACATATTCATGTCTACATGGCGTTTATGTACACGTTATACTGGGCATCGATTTTTATTATTATATAGTTACGATTCCCGCCTGGTTTATCTCTTGCAACTATTATGGATAACAGGATAAGTTTTTCCTCCATGCATGCGTATATCGCGGTTATCCAGATCACTTGCTGCACTCGTAATAGCTTCGTAATGAAATATTGCACGGCAACTCTTGAAATTCATTGTTGTGATTCTCTATTTAGATACACCGTATGGAAATGTAGACGATACTTATCAATATTTCAAAGAGCTGTTGCTTTGCCACAGTGTCAAGGTTCGTATATATTGGTATAAACTGTGAGCGGGTCCCTCGGGGAAAAGAAGGATCTGCTGACGATACATCAATAAACGAAATACGCGTTGCCCGCACACAATTCCCGTTGGTCGAAATCAGTATGTCACTCAATCAAATATAATACGTAACTAGAAAATACATGCATGCAGAAACCCTCGCCTTACTGACAAAACATTATGTTTTCTGAATATTATGAAGAATTGAAAGTAGTTGTCATGGTAACACGATAATTTTAAGAATAGTTTTAAACCTGGTTTTAAA